TCCCAGCTCCGGGCACCTGCAGGGCATTGTGGGAAGGGAGGGGCAGGTGTAGAGGAGCCTGCAGGGCTTCCTGCCCACCCAACTCATAGCCGTGGAAGCAGCCATGCCCATTCCCCACCCCTCCACCCATGCCAGCTCCAGGTGCTTGACTCTCCATACTGGCTGCACCAGGGCCTGCTGGCATCAGCGGGCAGGGCCTGGTACTGCCACGGGGCTGGGCAGGCAACAGCAAAGAGCTGGTTATAGGCACGGGGGCTGTGCTGCTGCCAGTATGGCTGCGGCCCTCCCGGCTTGGGTGCAAGCCGGCTTCAAGGGGGCTTGGGAGGGGAAGGATTGATACACACAGGATTCCCTCCTGCTCTCCCTTTTGCTCAAAGCAGGACCAGCCCCAGCTATATCATCCCAGCCAAAGCTTTGTCTACCCAGGTCTTAAAACCTCCAAGGATGCAGACTCCACTACCTCTCTGGGTAACCTGCTCCAGTGCTTCACTTCCCTTCTAGTAAGAAAGGTTTCCTAGCCTAAACTTCCCTTGCTGCAGCCATACCAGGGCAGGGCTGAGTGATCCCCTGCTCAACTCCGGCTGTGACAGCTCTTAAGCCAGGAACTGGTCCCCTGCCACCTGCAGCTGCCCTCCCAGGCTCATAGACACTGGGGAAGGAGAGGGAGCTACTTTTGGGTGTGGGGGAAGAACCAGGCGTTCCAGACAGTGGTGTCTCCATGCCCCCCCTCACCCCAAATGCGGCACCCTGGTTTAGGACAGGAAGTGAAGAGGAGCAGGCTGCTTGCAGGGAACAGTGTCCCAGCCTGGCCACAGGTCCCGTGGGTGGGATGGAGAGGGCTGGTGCTGGGGGACTGTGGGATGGCGGGGTTCAGGGAGGGGTGGTGCCCATGCAGGCTCTTACCTCTGCAGCTGGACCGTGGTGCTGGCCTGTGACATGCAGCAATGCCAGACGCTGCCCAGGTTGGACACAGGACTCCATGTGGTCTCACCAGTACCAGAGGGGAATAATCACTTCCCTTGCTCTGCTAGCAATGATCCTACCAGTGCAGCCCAGGATGCCATTAGCCTTCTTTGCAACAAGGGCACGCTGCTGGCTCACATGCAGCTTCTTGTCCACTGTAACCTCGACGTCCTTTTCTGCAGAGCTGCTGCCCACCCAGTCAGCCCCCAGCCTGCACTGGTGCATGGGATTGCTCCATCCTAAGTGCAAGGCTTTGCACTTGGTTTTGCTGAACCTCATGAGATTTCTCTTGGCCCAATCTTCCAATGTGTCGAGGTCACTCTGAATCCTAGCCCTCCCCTCCAGTGCATCTACTCCTCCCCCCAGCTTGGTGTCATCCATGAACTTGCTGATCCAAACCATCTTTAAGATCATTAATGAAGATATTGAACAAAACCAGTCCCAGAACCAACTGCCAGGACACTCCACTTGATTCTGGCTGCCAGTTAGACATCAAGCCATTGATCACTACGATCCAGCCAGCTTTGTATCCACTTTACAGTCCATTCATCCAACCCACACTTCCTGAGCTTGCTTGCAAGAATGCTGTGGGAGACGGTCAAAAGCCTTGCTAAACTCAAGGTATATCATGTCCACACTTTTCCTGCATCCACAGAGCTCATCGTCTCATCATAGATGGCAATCAGGTTGGTCAGGCATGACTTGCCCCTGGTGAATCCATGCTGACTGTTCCTAATCACCTTCTTCTCCTCCACGTGCTTAGAAATGGGTTCCTTGAAGATCTGCTCTGTGATTTTTCGGGGGACTGAGATGAGGCTGACTGGTCTTTAGATCCCCGGATCCTCCTCCTTCCCTTTCTTAAACTAGATTTCCCTTTTCCAATCATCTGGAAGCGCCCCGATCACCTCAAGTTTTCAAAGATAATGGCCAGTGGCTCGGCAATCACACCAGCCAACTCCCTCGGTACCCTCAGGTGCCCTGCATCTGGCCCCACGGACTTGTACACGTCCAGCTTTTCTAAATAGTTCCTAACCTGTTCTTCCATCATTGAGGACTGCTCACCTTCTCCCCAAACTGTGCTGCCATATAAAAGTTGTCAGGGAGCTGACCTTGCCTGTGAAGACCAAGGTAAAAAAGGCATTGAGCATTTCAGCCCTTCCCTCAGCTGTCAGTAAGCTGCCTCCCCCATTTAATAAGGGACCCACACTTTCCCTGACCGTCCTTTTGCTGCTGACATACTTGTAGAAACCCTTCTAGATACCCTTCACCTCCCTTGCTAGCTGCAACTCCAATTGCGCTTTGGCCTTCCTGACTTCATCCCTGATGCCCAAGCAATGCTCTTATTCTCCTCCCTAGTTATTCATCCAAGTTCCCACTTCTTGTGAGCTTCCCTTCTGTGTTTAGGCTCACCAAAGAGTTCTCCAAGCCAAGCTGGTCACCTGCCATATTTGCTAGTCTTCCTGAGCATTGAGACGATTTGTTCCTGCACCTTCAGCAAGGTTTCTTAAAAGTACAGCCAGCTTTCCTGGACTCCTCTCCCCCTCAGACTGGCCGTTCAGGGGATCCTGCCCATCGGTTCACTGAGGGAGTCAAAGTCTGCTTTTCTGAAGTTCAGGGTCCTTACTCTGCTGCTGCTTTTCTTTTTTTGTCTCGTGTCAGGATCCTGAACTCCATCGTCTCATGGTTGCTGCTGTCCAGGTTGCCATCCACTCCTACATCCCCACCAATTCTTCCCTGGTTGTGAGCAGCAGGTCAAGAAGAGCATGGCCCCTAGTTGGCTGCTCCAACACCTGCACCAAGACGTTGTCCCCAGCACTCTCCAAAAACCTCCAGGATCGCCCGAGTGCTGCTGCGCTGCCCTCCCAGATGTCAGGATGATGGAAGTCCACCGTGAGAACAAAGGCCCGTGACCGGGAAACTTCTGCCATCTGCTTGAAGAAAGCCTCATCCACCCCTTCCCCCTGGTCTGGTGGTCCATAGCAGACCCCACCACCACACCACCCTTGCTGCTCTCCCCTCCGACTCTACCCCAGAGACTCTCAACAGGCCCGTCTCCACTTTCATACTGGAGCTCTGGGCAATCATACGGCTCTTTCACATACAGGACAACTCCTCCTCCTCTTCTCCCCTGCCTGTCCTTCCTGAAGAGTTTGCCCCATCCATGACAGTGCTCCAGGCATGCGAGCTCCCACCAAGTCTCTGTCATGCCCCTATCATAGCTCCGTGACTGCACAAAGATTTCCAATTCTTCCTGCTTGTTTCCCAGGCTCCGTGCATTCGTGTAGACACTTGAGGTGACTAGTTGATTGCCCTGATTCCTCAGGAAACTTGAGAACACCTCCCCTGTTGCCCCCTCCCGGTTGCTCTTCCTTCAGGTCTCCCACTTACCTCAAGGCTTTGGTCTTCATCCCCTGGTGAACCTAGTATAAAGGCCTCCTCACTAGGTTAGTGAGCCTGTCTGCAAAGATGCCATTCCTTCTCTTTGTCAGGTGGATCCCGTCTCTTCCTAGCAAGCCTTCTTGAAATA